CAATAACCTCCATTAGAGTGGACTAATCCAATTCTTTAGTTCAGTGAACCACTATAAATTCTTGTGCATTCTTTACATACTTCAGCACACACACGCCTCACTATCACCTAGAGCTTATTAGCTCATCCAACTCACTTTTCGATTTTTAACACCATCAATAACCAAATCTTGCTACTTTCGATTTTACTAGGATAGTTTGAGGGAAAGATTTCATAGACCTATTATTAGCTCGAGTTAACAAATTTGACTCTTTTGGAGTACACGATATATGTGTTTTGTAAGTGAATGTTGGTACTTAGAATTTAGGTTATGATCACGAGTTGAAGTGTCCAATAATATATGGTTAAAATGGTTGTCCATTATTATTTCTTTAGTGAAGAAAACCTATTTTTGGATGAATTGCATTCGATGTTTTGCTTATAGGTAGAAACAAGTCTTTATTTTATTTATTTTTTTCGGTAAGTAGCAACGGGTCTTTGTTTTTGTCAAAAGAAAGGAAGAAAAGTTGTGCAAGCCTACAAATCCCTCAATCTATGGTCATGATGCGTGGAACATTTTCTATGGCACATGGAGTGACTCAGATGCCACTTTATTGTAAACTAAGAAGAATTGTGTGGAATGTAGTCTTAGTCCTCATGGGCCCTTGAAAGTTCTGCAAATAATGTTCTTTCTTGAAAGCATTTTGAAAGTGCTCGGAACATTGTTTTTGAGAATAATATATATATACACTAGTTTTTGTGAATCATAAATATATTTGTATTTACATTCAAAATTAAATTACAAATATAGAAGAGAAAAAAAAATTTAAACATTAGTTGTCATGAGACTAAGCGATAGTAGTGGTGATGGGCGGCAGTCATGGTGGTGGGCAGTCATGGATGACAATGGTTATGGTGGTAGTGATTTTTGGATGACAATGGTGGTAGTGGTGAGTGTGTGTGGGTGTGGGTGAGGGTGAGGGTGATGGTGCAACAACGGCGGTGGTGGCGAATGGCGGCGAGTGATAGTAGGTAATGACGGATGGTGGTGATAGGTGTGGTGAAACTAGGAGACAATAGTGGGCGACAACGAGTGATGGTAGTGGGTGACGGTGCATGGTGGTGGTGGGTGGTATGGTGGACAACAATTGGTTGGATAATGGTAGTAATGGTAATAAGTATAATAATAAGATGATGATGATTGGAGTGGCAATGGACAACAGTGGTGGGTGACGACATTGGCAGTGGTGGCGACAGCAATGGTGGTGTTAGTGGTGGGGTGGCGACGGGGGTGGTGGTGGCAGCAGTGGTGAAGTATTTTGTAAAGAAATGATTTTAAAGAAGTAAATTTTTTTTTTTTTTTACTTACTTATTTAAGTGATAAAACTCCTTTTGACTCATTTGAAAATAATTAAAATAAGTTTTTTTAGACACAATTTTTTTTTTAAAGTGTTTATGAAAAGATAAGTCATAGAAGCAAAAAATCACCCAAGCAAACCCTTAGGAAATCTATTTTTCCTATTAAATCTAGGAAGTTAATATTAGCTGTCAGAATAACTTTAAAACCAAATTTAAAACGTTCTCAACTGTGAAAACAAAAATTATTTTTTATATTGTACTTTATTATATAGATATACTAGTCATTATCTGTGTCTGAAGGCACTATATAACAAACAAAATTTTTTTACACAATTGTCCAAATTCAAAAAGAATGGCCTCAAAATTTTAATACCAATTCATCTTTTAAAATGAATTGAAATATATCGCTGATCATATCCTTCATATTAATAAAACTGTCGTAAAAATATATAAAACTCCTCAAAACAATACCACATATACAAATGCCTCTGAAAAAAAAATACTAACTTAATCTATTAAAATTTACAATATTTAAGTAATAAATAAAATTTTGCTCATTTATAAGACTCATGAATTTATCACATTTACCATCATTCAATCCAATAACAAAATACAATTATAAACACAATCACCATATTTTCAATCCACCTTATTCCCATGTAATAAATATCTCAAGCAAAAAAAAAAAACTAAAATAATACAATTAAATTCATTATCTTTAAGTGATAAATAAAATTAACCAAATCTTACTTATTTGTAAAACTCATGAATTTTTCACTACTATCACCATTCAACCCCAAATGACACAATAAAATTATAAATTTAATTACTAAATTTTCAATTCTCCACATATAAATTACATAGAAACATACTCTCACACATTTATTTTTTGGCTGCTAACAAACCTTCCTAACCAATAACTGTTTTTATTAGAAATATAATAATTGAAATTTTTATGATATAATAATAAAAATTAATATCTAATTAAAAAATACGGTAAAAAAATAGACTTCCCTTGAGTTTTTGACAATATTACGTAGACACCCCCAAATATTTTATAAATAACACAAAGATCCCTAAAGTTTAAAATTTATTACATAAAAACCCCCTCTGTCTCCGTTCCTTCAATATTGTTAATGAAAAGTGATGACTTTATCCCAAAAAAAAATTTATTATTTTTATAATTGCTTTTCTCCAACTTTAGTGCCCAAAAAAATTAAAAAATTAATAAAATAAAATAAGATTTGATTTAGTACCTAAAAAATTGATTAAATGAATTTAAATATTAATTTGATAACAATAAAAATTAATTTAATATTAATTCGACAAATTTGAATGTAAATTGGACAAAATTAAATGTCAATTTTTGATAAAAATATATATTAATTTACAATTTAAGGTTCATTTTGTGTTGAATATTATTTGTTGTTGATTAAACCAACATGAAATAAACCTTAAATTATAAATTTTTTTCTTGTATATAAACTTTAAAATTTGTATTTTAACCCATAAAATTTAAATACAGATTTTTTCACACCATAGCGTATTCTTTTTTACTATATCATTTGATATATTTTCTTTTGGTCAAAATTCAACCACACATACTTAAATCAAACCAATTGTTCACCCCTACTTTTTTTTTTAAAAGAATCGCTTACATCCGCTTATTAAACTCAAAAATCTCTGGTTTACATGAAAATAAGTGAAAGTAAATTAAAAAGTTGACAAAAAATATTGAAAAATTGATAGTTTGAAAAAATTTAAAATATTTAGTACCAAAGTTATAACAAATAGAGCAAATATTAAAAAAAACTAAAAAAATAATCTATATAAAAACCATTATCAATGAAAATTTTAGAAGAATTTAGGCATTGAATCAATTAAGACCTAATTTCAGGCACGGATGTGAAACTCAAATAAAAAAGACTTCAAATCGTGAAGTGCTATGTTTTATTTAAATTAAGTGTTATTTACAAATTAAGAAGCAAGTGATAAAATAAATGTTGTCAAATATATAAAATTTTGAATTAATTTTATGGAATAAATAATTGCATAACATGTAATTTCATATGTTTTATGGAATAAATAAAAAAAATAACACTTGAAAAACATAAAAAATAAGATAATAATATGAGAGAGAGAGAGAGAGAGAGAGAGAGAGAATATACGATAGATATAAAGAGAGTTAAATGAGTGAGAGGAGTCTTGGAAAAAGTTGGCATGAGAACTGTCGGATTAATAATCATCAAACGATCTGAACCGCGAAAAATTAAAGACAAAAAATATATCTACTTTATTATGTAGATATAGCCCCAAGGACATACAAAAACTCGGGCCCTATTTATTTTGTCACCAAAAATAATATTTGAAAACTATTTTTTAGAAAAAGTTTTAGAAAATTATTTTCAGTATTTTTTGTATTACTGAATTTGTTTTATTATATTATTCTAAAAACAATTCTACAGAATAAAAAAGAAATAAAACTTATTTGGATATAGTAATCAAAGAGAATGCTTCCCACTTTACTAAAAGACAAAAATTGAATGCTCCCTCGTTCAATCTTCTCACCTCTTTTTCTTGACACGTTCGAGAAGCTGCAAAACCGTTGGAATACTCTGTATGTGTGTGAGAGAGACAGCTTCATGTGTTCATCCAAAATTTTTACCAAAGTACTCAAGACGCTCAAGTCTGACTAGCCACTAGTAAATTTTTCACATGCTCCCTCCTTTCTACTTGTGAGAACTGAGAAGTCATACAATAAACATATAAACCTGATCCTAAATAGTCGGGACAAGACTTCTGTTGAATATAAATGTTAAAAAAAAACATGTCTGGAATCAGCATATTCTTGAATTAAAACATCAAAAAATTGAGAACAGCATAGGCTATACTAGGGTGCAACTTGAGTTAGATAACCCGATTTTAACCCGAGTTCAACTCGAAAAAATTAGGACTCGAGCAAAGGTTTTTAATACTTGAGTTGGACTTGTGCCAAAAAACTCTAACCCGAATTCAATTTAGGTTGGGCTCGGATTTACGAGTTCAACTTGAACCCGACAAATTAAAAAAAAAAATTATATATAAAGTATTAACACTGATTTTTTATTTTTCATATAAACCTCCATCTCTCTGTCTCTCTCGCAGTGGACTGGTGACAATAGTTTTTATGTTCTAATTATAGTTTTTATGTTAAAAACTTAATTGAAGTTATTAGTTGTTAATTTATGTGAATATTATATAATATATGTATTAAGTTTAAAATAACAAACCTATTTTGGACTCTACTAGAACTCAATCTGAATTCAACCCGTAAAATAACTCAAAATTACTGCTAAATCATTAATCTGAATTCAACCCGAGCCCGCCCGAATTAAACTCTGGCAGTGTTCGGGTTGAGTTCCTCAACCTGAGGTAGGTTTAGGATTAGAGTTGAAGATTATATATCTAGGATTAAATTAGGGTTGACTGTCCAACCCGCCCGAGTTGCACCCCTAGACTGTACCATCCACCTGCCAAACACTTATAAACTCATCTCAGATTCTCAACTGAAAAGAAAACTATGAAAATAGACACAGGCATAACCAAGTGCAAATCCAAAGAAGAATTATCTAGCAGAGGCATGATGTCTCCAATTGGATGCATTTGTATATTCAGAAAACCAAGATATAAGCAAAAATACGCACCGATATCAAGGCCAAGAACCAAAATCCTCTACAACAGAGCCGTGTAAAATTCGTGAATAAAATTCTCTATATCAAACTCCAGAAAAATGGGGTGAGCCATCTATAATCCATGGCTTACACCAAAAGAATCAACAGCAGGTGATATGTTATTGTTAGCATTGACGGGCATTAAATACGTTGTCAAATGCGTTTTCCAGGCGTTTTTCTACAGACTTAATAGCAGCAGAATCTTCAAGCTTCTGAGATTTGGGGGGAGAAAGGAATACTTGCATTGCATTTGGCAGTAGATCATCTTCAACAGATGGACACTTACGTACAGATTGTAGCTTATCGTTGGAAGAAGTATCAGTAATATTTGTCAGTGTATAAACACCAACACTGTGATTGGCATTGCTGAGTTGTTTTGAAATTCGAAGCCTTCGTTTTCTTATGATGGATGGCATATTTGTAAAAGTCATTGCTGCACTCCTCAGTGTGGATTCTGGACTGCTATAGTTGAATGACATTGCACTCCTCGGTGTGGTGTCTGGAGTGCTATAAACAACAGACTTTACTTTCTCATCGGTTGTTGGAACCTGAGGGTAAACTGGGCTTGTTGGTACTCGAACATACCTATCTGAACTTGAAAATCTACCAGTGGACATAAATATGCGCAAATCCTCTTCCTGGAGGGGCTCATAGCACAAGCAACCAAAATCTGTCTCCCCTACTTTTGGTTGTAATCCTGTATCATTACCTCGATCACTACCTACGTATGATGTCCTGAACAAACCCGGTCTGGTTAATTGCCTGCTAAAACTAGAATCTGCACCACCCAAGCAGTCCCTGGAAAATGCATCAGCATGTGTGCTTTTAGGATCTTCAAGTGATCTCCTGTGAGTGACAGGGAGAGCCTGATTATGATGAAGTATACGAAAATTTGCATCATTTTCATTCACCTCCATGGCCACAGGAGACAAAGGCTGCGGCAAATATCCAGCAAGAGGCCTTGAAGCCGACGGATTGGTGCGATTACTGGGTTTATGTATCTGTAACCGCGAACACGAGGAGTTGATGTGATCAGCAGATAAATTATGGCATGAATCATTGGGCTGCTCAGCAATAATATTATCCGAGTCTCCTGGTTTTTTGGTCTTAATAGTCTCAGTTTGGCATCGTTCGCCAATCACACCGCATGTCACAGAGGGCGGTTTAGTATCACGATTTGCCTCTTCTCTAGTAACTCTATGATTTTTTTTTTCATAAGGTTTCACACAACTCTTCCTACCAACAGCATTTCCAAGAACCAAATCCAGACAAAGACTGACATCTCTTTCAGAGTCCATTTCGTGGTCGAGAGAAATTGCCATGTGAAGACGTTCTTTCACCTCCATCGATTTTTCACTTCCTTCTTCTGCCTTATTGTTGTGCAAAACAGAGGTAGCAAATCCAGGGTAATTCAAAGCAAAACGACGGCCTGAATATGGATCAAGTTTCTTCTTCACTGAGCAGTTCCAGTGATTTTTTATTCCGTTTTCAGTCCTGTGCATTAAAATATGAAAAAACTAGTGAAAATGTATCACTAATGTTAGAAACCACACAGCCTATCAACCCGTATAATTTGACTGATTTCTTCAGATTTAGTATGTCAATGTACGATACAAGAATTCAATACCTGTAAAACTGAATCAATCAAACCTTGCCACAGTGTGTAGAATTACAAAGATTCTCATAGGATCTTGTATGCTTTTCATCCGGAACGAAATATGCTCTCTCAAAAACAGGAAGAGGGCGCTGCTCAAAGAACAATAAGAGCACATTGTGCAGGCTGTCGCCCTCAGTGATGGGGGAGACGAGAAGAAATTTATGAGTGCTTAGCTCTTTTTTTAGTGTATTGTAACCGAGCAAGACACTTGCCTATCTATGATAAACTATGGGTTTTTTTCGTTATTTTGATTGACGTAATCAAAGCTGAAATAGCTTGGTATGGCTAGTTCTGGAAATTTTCATTTCAGGTAACATTGTAGGATTTACATAAAAGTCACGTGTGCAGACCTTAATGAGTCTAAACATTTGTTAACACACAAAATAAATCTGAAGGGAAACAATTGTCCACTATGTGATAAACTTCATACTGCAATCGCCGATCTAATCTACTAAATCTTTCAAAACAGTAAATTACGTACTTATAAACTGATCAAAACAAAAGGCAGTTAGAATAATTTATCATATTCTGTCGGAAAATGTGATAGCTGGTAATGATCATGATCAGATACTCAATGTACTATTGATACCTTCCATGCAGAAACTTGGCTATTTCCGCCCACTTGTTCCCATATTTTGCATGAGCCTTTATAAGAGCCAATTCCTCCTCTTTGGTCCACGGATTTTTGTTTATCTCTGGATTTAAATGGTTGTGCCACCTGAAAAGGCAACGATCAGCTTCAAATTTTCAACATGGTGTATAATGTATCCAGTGACTCGATACTAAAACACAACAATCCCCTCAAAAACGAAAAGTGTTCCACAATCTTAAATTACAAAGAAGTATTTCCTGATCCCAGAGATTTAACCTGCCAACTGTTGTAATTACCTTTCTCGGCATTGCTTGCCTATGCGGCCTGGAAGGTGTTTTGCTATTTCAGACCACTTCTTCATACCCTGTTTCCCAACCAGCTCAATAATCAGATCATCTTCCTGTAAAGATCAAGCAAGACAAAATCAGGATAATATACTAAATGGATAAACAACAGGCTTTGCGTGGGATTCAAACACAAAAAATAGTATTTTGAACCTCTTTCGACCATGGCCCTTTAACAAGCCCAGGATTAAGCACTTTCTGCCAGCGGTGCAGGCACTGAACATCTGTTTTCTCAGGAAAATATTCAGCTGCTAAAGATCACGAATTCTCAATAAATGAGTAAATTGAATTGCACAACACACTCACATACAGTCTAGCAGGTTTTGGTATCCAAAACACAAAAGCCCCCACTGTACTAAAGGCCTAACTAAAAAATAACCAAAATCCTGAGCACATAACATAAAGCAAAAGTAAAACTTGCCTATTTTTTTCCAGCATTTTCCACCAAACCTTTTAACTGCATCTTCTAAAATTTTATCCTGGAAAGAAGCCATTTAAATTCGTCACTGCCATAATTATACACCATTCATTAGCGAACTGTGCATCTGTAAACTTCTTAAATATGGTCTTGATTTTGCTCCTATTTCTTCATTTGACCATGATCACTTAAATCTAAAAGATTCGGAACAAATATAACATCCCAAAATTAGAGCTAAATCATCTGCACAAGTAATTTACATTTCTGAAACCACAATTAAATCTATATTTCACACCAAAACTTGTAAGAAAGGGCAATTATCTGATGTTCAATTCACTACATTTCAGATGAATACCCAATACACCAAACTATATAACAAGTACTCATACGCATAATGTAACTGAAAATACTGTCTACTGACCTCTTCCGTTGTCCAATGTGGGGATTTCCTTGTCGGACCAGTCACCCTCCTACACATACAACGTACATTTGTCACGACGTAAACAATAACAATTCCATATCCTAAATTAAGCATAATAAATTACAATGAACTTTTTTATGGTCTAAATTCTTATTTTTAATGAAATAAGTACCGACGAATACACAAAATTTGGAACTTTCTTTTCTCATTAGAGCATACTAATGTGAGATAATTGAACATCAAACAAGATTTGTTAGAAAAGTAAAGACATTATGCTCTATATGCTAACAAGAGAATGATTTAAAGCTGAGATTTTTTGTTCAAGAATATTTCATTGTTTTTGGACCTAAGAAAATTAGGACTATCACCAAAACGAGCATATTGGCTAAACTAAGCTAAGTGCCTCTTTTTGATGCATAAACAACATAAAGACTGAGGTCAAAATTATCTTTTCTTTTCCGCTATTTTCTCAGCAACCAAACAGGAATCAAAGAAAATATAGATTCAAAACACAAACCCTCGAACAGATACTAACTTGCTATCAACTCCATCACCGTTGGATGCCGAAGGACCTGAACCATCTATACCCTCCTTCTGTGTTTCAGCATCAACTTCTCTAATTTCTTCCATAACTTTTTCCACTCATAAATTTCATATTATATTGAAAAATCACAAGGAAAAAAAAAACCAGATGGGGTATTCAATATTAAACCTATTTGTGAGTGAAACTCGAAATTAAAGAACGAGTTAAATAGCTAACGGTAAAAAACAAAACAAAGACTAAGAAACAAAGTCCATAAAGGGACACAAAACAGATTTGGTGGTAGATATGGGGGGTTTTGTTTGAAAATTCTATGTCCTTGATGGATTTGGAAAGACTGTAACGGCTAGAAAAAAAGGGGTGGCTAGAAAGATAGTCCAAGAAAGGAAAGAAAATTGTAGAAGATCACAAAGGTTCATTACTGTGATTTTCAACCAGGGTCTGAGTTAGTGTTTGGAGGGACAAACGAATTCGCCAAAGCTATAGATTGAGAGAGAGAGAGAGAGAGAGAGAGAGAGAGAATCGGTGGTTGATGATTGCCACAACTCAAACTCGCGGGAAACAAAGAGTCTGTTAAGTACACTCACCCGAAGAGAGTTCAAACGGCAGTATACTTATGAACTCCTGAGGAGTCAAAGCACCGTTATCTTAAACAGACATGTTGATGTGGGTCGGGTGCTCCCGATTAAATCGGTGGGCATGCTCGAATCTAAGAAAGGGTTGATTATATTTTGATCCCTCTCATTTTGTTCTCTTAACTACTATATTTCACATATTATACCTCTAATTATGATTATTTAGTTTCACACTAACCAAATGATTCATATCTGTTGCAAATTTGTCAAAAAACTATTTTATTTCACTTTTTTTTTTCGAGACGTTGACACTTTTTGTTTAAAAGATAACAGATGTTTTGTATTTTGGGTAATGTAGAATAATTCAAGCATTGCAGGAGCAATGTGAGTGGTTCAATAGTATAAGGGGTAAAATGACACAAACCTGATAATTTGTTGGAACAAAGTGTAAAAAACTCATCTGAACAACTTGGTTTAACAATCTTGAATAAAACAAGTAAACAAGATGCAAAATAATAATTAGGGTCAATTGTATCTTTTATCTTTAAAGAATGCATTTTTCTTTTGTTAATTTAGTCCTTAATGTATCATTTTGTCAATTTAATCCCTAAAATATTCAATTCGTATCATTTTGGTTCTCATATAGATGGACCATTAACGAAAAAGATCATACATCATTTTTTTAAATAGTATCACGTGTCCAACACGTGATCATTCTGTTAAAAATTTGACGGTTTTTTTATTTGGGGACTAAAATGATACAAATTCAGTACTTTAGCGATCAAATTGATAAAATTAATATCTCGAGACAAAAAGGATAAAAAAATGTTACTAACCCTAATAATTAAATGGGCTGGTTTTTAGCATTATCAGGTCGGTGATAAATGGATGGACTCCAATACTCACAGAAAATATTCATCTTTAGCTACTCCTGCATTCAAGAACAACCAGCTGAAGACAATGAATCTAAGAGTACAAAACAATTTCAATCCTTCTAAAAATTATCTTTATAGCAAATTAGACAAATAAAATCATATGAAGTAGTAGGCACCAACACTCACCCCTAATGCCCCCATTGGTCAAAATAGATTGCAAAAACAAAAACTTTAGAAGTCTCTGCTAAAACTATCACCCCAAGAGTTACTCATGAGATTTTGTTTTCAAACTTAATAATTTTTTTCGATCCATGCTCGTATTGTTTTGGCTTCAATAAACTCCCTGATAACCTAAGCAATTTTTTGAGTATCTTTGGTAGCTCCGACCATAACAGTACAACTACAATTCTGACAACAACTAGTGGCGGGTCAAGGTAAAGCGGGGTTTAGACAAAATTTTCATACGAAGATCTTATTAATATTTTTTATTTTTTTAAAAATTTAAAATATTAATCAAGTTTTTATACTCAAGTTTTAATGATAATTTTTTTAATAGATAATATTGTTAATTCATTCGCTATTAGTTTATTGTAAATAAAATTTTATCAATTTAAGTTTTTAACAAATAATTTAATAATAGAATATGTGAGAGCAAATAATCATTCTTTACCCATGAATAATGTGCACGCATGAAGTACAAAACTTTAACAACATAAACAATTTAAGTATAAATTATTTGGACTGAAAATTTATATTAAAACAAAAAAAGAACAAATTTTATAGATTTTTACCACAAGAAATAATGAATATAAATTTTCTATGCAAGTTAATGAAATACAACTATGAACACCCAAAATATTTAGAAAATTTTAAATCAAAGCTCACACGAAGGAATAATTTTGGATCAAAAAAAATTAGATATTGATTAGAACTATTAAAATTTGAGCCCTAAAAATTTGAATCATATCTAAAATACAAAAAAACAAAAAGAAAAAAAGACCATTATACTAAATTGGTAAATATTATGGAGGTCTCAAAAAATTTGGGCTTAACCAAGTAGAGAGTAATTTTAGACCTAATAAAATTAGATACTAATCTTAACTAATAAAATTTAGGCCCTAAAATTTTAATCATATCTAAAATAAAAAATTAGACCTATTATACTAAAGTGATAAATATTATGGGAACCTCTAAAATTTGGGACCCTAGACAAACAACTTAGTTGTCTGAGGGTTGGGCCGGCCCTGACAAGAACAATCTAAACAAAAACATTGGTATCTAGCAATTCTTAAAAGTGTAATGGGTGGGAGTGTGTGGATAATATGAAATCAATCACCACATAGATGATTGATCGTGGGCTCAAGAAAGTCATATCAAGATCCGGCTGAGTCATACGAAAAATTAAATGGATACACTTGTCAAAGATAGCAAGAAGGGCTAGATTCTCCCTCAGGTGCAAGACCTGCTTACTTGGTTTATATACTTTCCGACGATGTAATTCCAGAAAAATGTAATGGTTAGAACGGAGCCGCAGGTGGGATGTGCTGAAAATTCGTTGATGGTTAGTATCCCATTGGCGTAATGTCATAAATCATCTTCCTACAAAGACACAAGAAAATAAATTAATTAGTCATTAAGTGTACATAACACCAATGACCGAGGCTTGGAATACTCGGATATATACGCATGACATTACATGTGTTGTGGGAGCTCAGGATAGGACTCGATGTTGGTATTGCTTGCTTGAGTCTCATCTCATGACATGATATGATTTATGGTATTTGTTCGTAATAGATATATTTGAATAAATGCATAAAATGATTATTGCATGTGACATTTCATATGCATTTGAGTTGAGAGATATTCTTTATAGAAGTTAACCTATTGAGCGTTGGCTCATCTTTTATGGAAACATTTTTCAGGTATTGCGCAAGCGTCCACCGAAGGCGAGGCCATGGGCCCGTTTTGACGACAGAGCTGATATGTGGCTCTTATTTTAATTTTATAGTCCTTTGTATATGTTTACTTTTGACTTTGTATAATTTTTGTAAACAAAACTTCTTTTATATTAACAAGACATGTATATGAGACTCTTTTGAGACATTTATTATTTTATGAATGAATGTACGTAGTGATGATAATTATGGTAGTATCTGATACCATATAATTGAGTATGGATGAATAGACCCAGTGTGATCAATGTTATACATGTTGCGTTTTGGGTAGACCTCCTCGTACAAATGAGATTCTATCCAATTTTTGTTAAGTTATGAATCCTGATAAATGAGATATAACAACGTGGTATCGAATTACATGGTATTCGTTGGTATTCTGCGGGTTGATAGGTGATTAACTGGATAATTACAGACGCCCGAATTTTTGGGCGTCGCACATAGATATAACATCGTTGCATTACATTTATCCAAAAAGAAAAATCTTCACATTACATTAAAAGACAAAGTAGTCATTCAAAACATGGACAACATATTTTTTGTTCTTGCTTAAGACTAAAACCAACACTGCCAAACAAATTACAGGTAAAATAAACATTCTCCTTTGCATAGACTTTTTGGCCTCTTGATCAGATTTCGTGGTCTCTTGATTAGCTTTAATCCTCATCATACTAGTCGAGATGCCTGAAACTGAATGTGATAACATTATGCCCAAAATTCACAATTTTTAGTCCTGCAAACATAATACAAGCTTCCATTTGACGGTTTCTTGGAATCAATCACTTTGATTATTGTTTTACGCTCACATCCACATATTTGAGTACTGGACCTCAAATCTATTGGCTCCTCTCTCCTTGAATTGCTTGAGTATGACATTTAATTCTAACAAAACATTATTACGAAGTTGTTACACACATTTTAAATGAAAATAATTAGAATAAGAAAGGCATAATCTTTATCATAGTAATTTATTAGCCATTATATTACTCAAAAAACATGTTTGAATAAATTACCTTTTTTTTGGTAGTTTCCTTCATCCAGCTCTAGAAAGCAGCATGTCTAGCTCTAGACAGCAACTTCCGAATGAAATGAAAACCTCAAGCTTTTAACATAGCATAAGACGGTCATTTTTGACATTTGGGTATATTTATTTTGGAGAGAAGCTGATTACTTTGTTGATCAATCGCCAAATCAGCGCGTCTATACCACTTCCATCTGTTCTGACGAAAAACTAATATTTGCAGTTTTGTCCATAACTACGTTGGGGTGATGTGTTTATTTTCAAATCATAGGGGTCATCTGCTCAAAGCATAAATCACGAGGGGGTAAACTGGAATTTGCCCTAAATTTTTTAGTTAGATTTGTATTATGATCAAACAAAATTTGATTTGAATGTGATTCGTTAATATACCTACCACACCCAACCCAATTCATCTACATCATCTCGCATTGTAGAAAATTATTTGTTAGTGGACTGGACTAAATAACTTTTGAGATGATTAGTTATTGAGTTAAGAGACGCATTTGTGTACATTTTCTTCAATCCCAATCGATATGTAATATACTGGAGTAACTTGAGTTTTTAACCTGATAAAGGTACAGTACACATTTCAGTCTACAACAAAAGAGAGGCACAATGGGATGCTGCAATGCTATGCGGCAGAAAGGATCGAAATTTTGTTTTGTTACGTTACTTTAATCACTTAAAAAATAAAAACGTTTCGATAATGTTTCAAAAAATATATTAGAAACGAATAAAAAAATTAGAAATATATTTTAAAATATTGATCTAAATATATCAAAATATATTGAAACACCTTGAACAATAATAAAAATATATCGAAATATCTCAAAACACTATGAAATATTTTGAAACACCTTGAAACGTTAGAATTTTGATTTTATCACCGACTTATTTCAGTCTTCTTGAAAATAAAAATGTTTCTGCCATTTCAAATGAAATTTTGATCCTTGTGTGGCAGTGAGATTTATGGAGTAACAAAACCAAGTTGGGCTGTCAAAATATTCTCAAAAAAGCTCAACAAAATAATTTTTTTAAAAAAATGACTCAGAGCACACGAAAACTCCCGCCACTCTGGATAACTCACTTGATATGGCATGAGCTACCTGCTGTTACAAAAAAGGGTGTAACTCATGATTTTTATGGATACACTAGTTCCATATGTAAGAGTGATTTGCAATGTGAAATACAAAAAGAATCATAACAAACCCATCATAGGCTCAGATTAGCCACAAGCAACCACCAAAAGTTCTTTAACACAGCTACAAGAGAAAACATTGTGACAACACCCCACCCCCCACCCCAAACAAATAAAGAGATACAAGGAATGAAAATTTCCAACAGAAAACTGTTTCGAATACAGTTCCATGTTAGGCAACATTCAAGCACCTAACCCCACCCACCCTTTATGTAATTCCCACTTTAGAGTCTTAGACAGCAACGTACCAAAAAACAAAAACATCCTGGAATCTGTGGCTGCATTTGGCATTCCTGTACCTCAGCTACCCTGAGGTTTTTTTTTTTTTTTGCACTGCAGCCACCTGAGATTTATAACAAAGAATTCGTGTAATGTTTATCTATCGTTGATGAGGATATTCCCCACCTTCTTGACGGGACAGCCAGGCCAAGCTCTTTACATTGCTCTTCCTCTGGTTGTGAACTCAGGAAACTAGTTCCCACAAAATGCACTAATGCTGATGCATCCACAAGATTCCTCTGCAAATTCAAAGCTGTGGACATAAGAAGTGACGATGGTTTCTCTGTCAGTCTCTTTGCAGGGGCATTGTCAAGCTCCGCAGCCTTTAGAAACCGTTCCGTGGCAGCTTCCCATGACAGCTCGTGCCTTTGTGAATCAGTCAGCAGAGCAGGCTCGTCAGCCAATGCCTTGCACATAGCTTTAACAAAGCCATTGCCATCCTCATACGTTCGGCAATTTGGGAACTGCTTGAAAAATTCATTCGAAGGATGCTCAGCACAAACAACTATTTTCCCCATTGCCAAAGCTTCGGCCGTGGTGGTGCAGACAACATCTGTGGTACTTGGGTTCAGGAACACTTTATAGCTGGAACAAGATAAGAAGATATCGATAACTATAACATTCTCAACCATGTTGACCATCTTGAAGAAATATAATTAAATTGTGTTTTGATGGAGAAGAGAATTTCTGGTGCTATAGTTCAAATTTTCCCCTTGATTCAATCTTCACTGATGCAAATTTCCCCCAAAAAACCCAGGCATCTGAGGGTGCAGAAAATATTTCCTAAAAGAGTTAAATACATAAGCACCATGTTATCCGGAGAAGCCCATGATGCTCAATCATTGACAAGAAGTGTGTCAGCTTCTATTTTCCACTGAATGAACTTGCCATACAAGACAATAAATGCTTTTCATTCGTCCTAGTCCCTTCCTTTTCCTATGCTTGCCCATAATTAGGACCAAGTCAAGTTGACCTGGAACAAGTGTACCAGTCCAAGTCATTTCTATTTATACTTTAAACAAATATTTAGATGGAACATGAAGAACGGTTTTCAAGTTGGGAGACCAAATTCCCACTCTGCTTTCTCTGAAAAGAGTTTCAACCGCCATATTCATCCTAAAAAAGTTTCAAGTTTCTCTTAGCAACCCCCCAAACTCCCGGGGCAAAAAAAAAAAAAGAACAACAGCAAAAGCCTGTCTTCTTAAGAGGTATTTACTCTTGAAGTTGCATCTGATGCACCATTTTTTCATGGATGGGTCGTCTCAAGCACGCTAATAAATCAAATCACTTGCAAAACATTCTCTTATCCGTTTATTTAAAACATATCTAAGACATTCCAGGATCAGGTATTGATCAAGTGTTTGGAGTGCCTAAGTTCTTTAAAAAACATTCAAATAGACAATTGCTGCCGTAGCTTGTTTTCTAGCTTCAAAAGTTGAGAGAATAAGTGAGCCAAGAATGATCAATGCATGAATGACTTCTAACGCAAGCATTCTCAAGCATCTGTGGAGTGGATTACTTTATTCAACAACCACAGTTTCTTATTTTCTCTTTCTAGCAATATAATACAGTAAACATCACTTGACATACAGGATAAAAAATGGTTAGGGGCTTACTCATGAAATAAAGGATCAGCATGATCACGCCCAGGATGAACCCTAATTGCTATTTCCAATTTCTTGGCAGCTTCCTGAACTTGACCAGAGTCCTCCCCATTACCATACAAATCAAGCTCAATTCCAGCCAGTTCCTTCTGATGATCACTGAGAAGTTTCAGTAGCTCCTTATAGCCTTTATGCCACACCATTTTCCCAATGTAATAGGCACCTTTGCTGAAGGTCTGGTTTGCATCCAGTTGCTCATTCTTTTTTCTGCCAATCTCAAGGAATTTAGGATTGACCCCATGAACATTGCAGATAATGGATCTTGGAAGATCCTGAGTGGCGGCAGATAACCTTATTACCTACCATTTCATGATTAAGTAATGTTCAGTGAGCAAGCAATATTTCTAGGACATGAACTAATAAAACTCAGGAGAAGGAGTAGCATTAACTTTTTTGGGGAAAAAAAATCTATCTAGCGAATTATTTCCACTGGAATTTCATAGCACACTAATAGTAAGAAGAAGGCCAATTGGAAACTTCATAGCAGCCTTTCTTGATAAAGGATCAAACACATTAAAGCTGATAGTGAAGTGGAAATTATGGCGGGTTAGTGAAAATAAAACAGTACAATTAGACCCTTCAGTATGAGTTCTAACAGATCCAGCTGTCAGCAACAGTCCGAAGAAGGTAACCTCCTGTGTGCAATGTGTTAAATATGTTAACGTCACTAGTTATAGTAGTTTTTGAAAGAACCAGTGGATACACATGAATTCATCTCTTGCAACGAACCATCCAGAGATTATATTGATTTTCAAACTCATTAGAATCAAATATTTTACCACTCAAGTTTAGCACCATAAGGGAAGAAATGCGTAAGAAAGTTGAGAAACTAAAAGGCATTTCCTCAATGTTACATTTATTATAGTTCACCAGTTTACATGGACACTTTGAATGGGTTCATTTCCAGGTCTGAAATAAGTATTAATGTCAAAGATACCAGGTCCCCATGGAAAAAAAAAAACAAAAAACTACACCAGGTCACATCAGACCCACAAAAGCCCTCTCAATACCTGCACACATTTAGTTAAAATCTTATTTTTTTGGGCCACCAGCAGAATTGACACAGTACTATTCCCATTTCATAGGAAAGACCAAGCCAACCCTGACTTATCCTCAACTTCATGCTAAGCTCAGCAGTAAAATTACACCATCTCATCAAAAGAAAAACTTAATCAGGTTGAGCAACATGCTAACTGTCCTGCTAATCCAATATACATGCATGACATGTTCCAATTGGTATTGGGCAGGTAAAAACAGAAACTAACCAGCATATTGGCATCCTATTTTCAGGTTAACAATTTCAAGCCACCTCCAATCACCAAAATGTTGGCTTTTTTTCCAAAATTGATTTCTACTGCAAAAATCAGCGGGCACTCAACAATCATAAAACCTATTGCCTGATGACCTCATTGTTATAATCTGAAGCACTTGGACAATCACAACCCAATTACAATATATTGCAAATTGACAACCTAAAAAAAATCACAAAATGGGAACTAGAAGTCCCTTATCAATACCCAAACTAGCTCTTCGAGGATTGTCAATAACATTAAGCCAAAAATTATATGACCATTCATATAGGGTCCCCACCAGAGCTACATGGCCTACCAGCTGCACAAGGATAACTTAAGTGAGTCAGTAGGGATGCCTGATAATAGTTGCTCAACAATGGTTACATAGATGTCACAAGTCACACCTCACATTCATGTATTTCAGTATATCAAACACAAAAGTGAACAGAAGAAACAATCCTATACTCAAGGCCCAAGGGTAACTTCTTATTCTGAATATCTTATACTCAAGGGTATTATCTCAATTAGCTCAGGTTAACAATATTAATAAAAGTTACAGAAACAAAATAGTCTCCCCTTATGAGTAGCAGATCATTCAAGTAAACAAAAAGTTGTCCACAAACATACCTTGTGGCAATATATATCAACGACCCACCCGTTTATATATTCCAGAACAAATGCTTGCAGTTGTCCATTCTTCTCTCTCCTCACATATTCCAAATAATTGGTGTGAACTACTCCTATAACCAGGTGAAATTTTGTTTTCCATCTCTTCCCATGATGATACCATGTAAGATGCTCGGGCTCCTCTAGTACAGCAATATCTGCCTCTTCATCGGGGATTATTTCTGTAATATCACCTGCAGCTAGAATACTCCTTTTGTCTTGAGAAAACTGAAATCAAAGCATGAAAATGCAATACGAGTGATATTTTGGGCAATCTAACGAAGATAACAAAAACAAGTAGGGTCGATTACCATGTAAACACAAGAATACAAAGACTCTTATCTTAATGAACAAGCCAAAATTCTTTAATGTCAGAGCAATGTAGTGATGAACCAATTCTAATTAAGTGGGCTGTCAAGGTCACTCAATAGAAAGTGATTGCATCAACTTATGAAGGAAAATATATGAATGCAACCGAAAAGGTAAAGAGCAAGAAAATCTGTAGGTTTCTCGTGCTGAAGGCTTTGTGTAAACCGGCAGTAGAAACAAAAGGTAGAAAAGATGGCTTTGACTCATATAAAGACAAGCATACAAAAGTTTCACAAAAATACATTTGAACCGATGTGCCACTATAAGGCAAACCAAGAACATTATAGGTGAGCAAAGCCACAATGTTATTTAATCACTCGTTTTATATTCTACTGACATTACACTAATTAACTAGCACAACTGATAAGTCTTCAAAGTTAAGCACAGGACCGCCACTACGGTACAACATTTTTTTCTATGCAACAGGCCAAAACTACAAATCCCAAAAAATGATCATCCTTTGCAATGTGAACTCACATAAGGATTTCACACCAAGCACTTGATAATTGATCCATTTAGTTGAACCATATTACTGATTTCACTACAAATTAGTTTAGAGTATTTACTTCAGCAAGGTGAAAAACACTGGACGATTTGGATCCGGCTAATTCTGCCAAAATCATATTTAATGAAGTCTGGCAATTATTCACATCCCCCCTGACATCAACAAAGGAATGCCTTCCCACCTTTAGTAGATTGGTTGTATCTAAAGTTTAGAACAAAGAAGTGAATAAAAAGGAAAAAAGGAGGGATAAAGGTTTAGGGATCCACAATACTTAATAGGTAAGCTCAGAAGCTAAACTATCACAGAAAACATGTTATTCAGTAAGTACATAAGCACATCACTTAAACAAAAATAAAAGGATAAAGGCATCAAAGAACTTAAGAACCTTATCTTTTGGGTAAAACATTAAGAAAACAATATTAGAATAGCCAATATTTTTTCTCTATTTAAAAAGCAAAAGAATCCACATATTGACTTAAATAATAGAAACCCATATAAACAACTTGTAATAGCAAAGTTAATAAAAAAAAATTAACCTTGAGTCTTGACACATAACAGCAATAATCCTTGTCCACATAACAATAATAATCCTAGTCTACAGATAAATAATACAAACACTTGGGCACTTCTAGATTATTTAACAAAGTTGGTATAGAATCCCACACAATAGCATCTAATCTCTTTCTTCTTATTTTCCCATTGTACCAAGCATTATGGTAGATCTGACAAGAACTTCCTGACACCAATCCAATGATACGTTTCAATAAATAGTTCTTTTCTTTTTTTCAAATTCATATAAAAAACATATAAATTTCAACAAAATTGATACCAAATACAAATTTATTAATTTCATAGTTATACCAAAGCATTTCAGCAGCTTAAACATTTAATTGCTACAGCTTAATGCATCATTAAGGAGATAACATAAGACCCTAAAGTAACAGAAGCATGCTTAATTCCAGTTTAAAGCTCCAGAATTAACAGCACAATTTACCTTTCCCGGATAGAAACGTATATCAAAAGTAGATATAAATCCAGTCCTTTCCTCAACCCACTGGCGGACATATTTCTCTTGCTCTGAAGGTAACTTAAATGAGATCTTGTTGGGATACACATGGTCTTGATCCTTTGGTGATAACCAAGGAATCACTAAAGTAACCTTTCTCTCCTCATTTTTGGCAAAATAGGCTGCACGAAAGAGAGGGTTGATGGCAGTTCCAGTCATCCATGGAAGGCTTGCAGTAGTAAATATTGCAATATGATGCTTCTTATCCATTTGATCATCGAATTCAACTGCTATGACGGCTCTAATTGATATCAATTACAGAACTGGAAAACCACACCTTATGAAAATCACAACTCAAGTGCCCAAACTGCATCAATATATGAGAGAAACAAGACATGAGCTGACTGGATGAACAAGATCAACACGCCTCACCAATATTGAATGGCATTCTCTTAGTTTTCTATTTTCTTTGTATATCACATTAGGCTTTTAGTAAAATTGCCTTTAAATCCTTAAAAGACTCTAATCATTTTTCCTGTTTAGGTACAACAACAATCACTGTGATCCTTCTAACATTTATACATTAAATTCTCAGGATAAAACCATGTTTGTTTGTTTATACTGAGGATGATCTGCAATTGGTCTCTCTACAACTAAGAAAGCAGATAAACTAACATCCCAACAGCTCTATTATTCCAACTAGCGGTCACCAACCCCCCCTCCTCCTCTCCATTTTTTAATAGTATAGATTTAGGAATAACCTTCAAATTCTCTGTTTTCGGGATAACCTCACCAAATTTCAGAACTTATCCGATCAATTAGCAATATTGAAGAACAAAACTGCATAGTATTGAACATACAGGATGCCTCAAACTTGCCTGATGCAAAACAAAACAAATAAAATAAAATAGAAAACTTTACCCCATACTCGTCATTTAATCGATTTTGGCACTTGCACCAAAAAACCCATCAACCAAGGATGCAACGAACAGGCACAAACACACAAATCCAAAAAAAAAAAAAGAAAGACAAAAGTTCTTTACCTGATTTTGTTTTCCTGCTCTTTACCGTAATTTTCTCGGCGACCAAACAGCGTTGATGATTCGCAAGTTACCAAGAACAATTAATCTATTGAGATTATAACAGTATATTAAGCACCAAACTCAGGTGTTAAGGTTGATGCGAAGAATCAAATGCGGTGGGAGTTGTAATTGTGGAGAGTATTTATCTCGAAATTGGAAAGTGGGGAGGTTTGTCAGTAATACACCCACATTCCTTCGCGTGGGAAAAATAACATTGTCATCTCTTTAACTTTGATATGTTGTAACATAGACCGAATGTCCTTATGAAATACCAACTATCGTCCAATCTAGATGATGTCTGCATATTTATATCACACAATCCCTAAACTACCCCCTAAAACAACCGGGTCACCGACCTCCAATACAACCAAGAATCATAGCCACCTCGGCCAACGATAATAACTGCAACTCATAGAACACAAACCATGCCACCATTTGTGTGCGTGTGTGTGTGTGAGAGAGAGAGAGAGAGAAGGGGGGGGGGGGGGGAGGTTGGCATGGTAGTTGTTGATTGTGCGACGCTGAGGGGGTATTGGGGAAGATGAAATGTAAAGGCAATAGGGTTATTTATGGGTTTAGGTATTTTTGTTATTTTCGTCTGCGTCGTTTTGCAAACAGTTATTAATATGATGTGTCATTGTAAATTTTCATACCTGAGGGGTCCATGTGTATTAATGACAAACCTCTCTCAGAATCTGTGTATAATTTACCCAACAAACCAGGCGCCTGGCGCGTGCTACCTGTTCACCAGATTGGTCCACACCTACATTGTGTACAAGAAAGACTTTAATTGGTAGACCAACAAAGCTGTCTAAGTTGGTTATTTATCCATCAACAATAATAGTCTATAAAACTAAAAATCGACAATCAAAATTAAAGTAAACGAAGAAAAAATAAAAAAATATATAAATATAAATTTATGAGATTATTTGACACTAAAGAATATATTGATTGGGTTGTTTATCATTAAAGACTGTGAAAGAAAAGATGGTATTTGACACTAAAGAAAAGATATTTTTGAGCAAAAAAAAAATGTTTGAGACACTTTTGTATAATTATATTAAAGTAAATAAAAATTAGATCAAAGTAAATAAAAAATTACATCTAGACAATTATACTTTTTTGAATTGAGAATTCAATTTTTTTAAGTGTAATATTAGATAGATTATTCAAATGGTATAAGAATTTATTTTTTTTATTTTTTCAAGTCTTTTTTTTGTACGAAATTATATTTTGTAGGATAATTTTAATTAATTTGTAGTTTATTATTATTTAAAAAAATTTGTGAATTTAATCCATAATTATTAATGTAAAAATATATTTATAAAACATATTTTTCAAGATTTTCATATTAAAAATGTGTTTTGTAAACACAGATTTTTAATATAACCTATTTATTGTTCATATGTGATATGGCAACATTTTTTCTTTTAAGGGAGGGAGAGGGGGAAAGAGATTTGAACTCTTGACCTCAAGATGGTAAAGTCTTTACAAAGTAAGAAGTATTATTAGATCAAATGGTTATTAATGTTTTAAATAACTGTGACCCTTTTAAAAGATTCAATAATATAGTGGACCAAAAAAAATAGGTATTTATTCAAATCCGTCTCGTTTGGATTGAGAATGGACCACACATATTGGACAGTAGACGTATACAGTGATATTAGTATAAATCCGTGTGAGAATAGATTAAAATTCATCACCGTCCCGTTCTATTAAACCCGTAATATATATATAACAAATAAAATAATTAAATAAAACATACATTTGTTATGCATATTGTTAGTTTATAAGTTTTTATAGTTGATCCATTTGTTATATAGTAAATTTTCATCTTTCTTGCAAACCTATTTATCAGGTTTTATAATTTTTTTAAATTTTTTTCTTAAAATTATAGAAATTAATTATAATAAGCGGGTACGAAGATTAAAATTTTGTCAACGGTACAAAAAAGGGGATTAAAATTTTTCTTTCTAATAGGGATGGAGAAATATTTTTGAAACAAATGCGGACCGAAGACTACTCCCCCATCCAGCTTGCCTGGTGCATTCTCATTAGGGGTGTCAAATGTGTCGTGTTGGGTCATTTCGTGTGGAGTTGATTTCGAGTTTATGTCAAAAATTCTAAAACTCAAACTTGACATGTTTAATAATTGTGTCGAGATGTGTAAATATTAACCTGATCTAACTATTAAACGGATTACGCAAACCCGACCTGTTTAACATGTTTAATAAACAAGTCGTTTTCGAGTTAATACACAAAACATGATTTGTTTGACTTATTTAGCACGCATAACATAAATTTTTTTAACACATATAACATGTTTTAACACTAGTTCATTACTATTAAATACATCATTCAATCATTTACCTAAAATTTCAAATAATTTTTTTTATAGATAACATATTAAATCTCATCAATGAAATTAACTAAAATGCATTTAAGTTTCAACCTAAAAATTAAAGTAAGAACTATACTAGTATATTGTCATAATAATGTTAAAAGTTATACTGTCAATTTTCATAGTAAAAATAAGAACTATAAGTATTAATGTTAAGATTACATCAGTCATACATAATAGACAAACTATACTGTCATAAACGGGTTAAACATGTCTAGAATGAGTTAGGTCGGATTCGTGTACGAATCATATCAATCCGTATAAAATATACAGATTAATCAGGTCAAAATCGGATTGACCTAATTTTGACATGAATCCAACTTGATTTTTTTCGTGTTTAAGTATGTTGACCCGTTTTAACCCATTAACTCGTTTAAATTTGTATCCGACTCATTAATTTCATGTTCAATTTGAATCGTGTTAACGTGTCGAAAATTGATGCCCTAACTCTCATCCCTACTCTTATCAAACATACCATTAAAGTCAACAAAGTGGATGCTCACCAAAATGGGAGAAGCAATCACAAGAACCCCAACAAACAGGTACTTGTTCTTCCATCCAACACTTTTCATCACACTTTGAACTCATCCCCATCACCACCCACTGACCCATCTCTCTTTGGTTCTTTTTGTAGGCTTGCAATGTTCCTGGGTCAAATAAAGGGATAGGATTTGAGATCTGTAAACAGTTGGCCACTAATGGGTTGACTCTGGTGTTAACTGCTAGAAATGAGAATAGGGGAATTGCAGCTCTTGAAAAACTCAAAAGGGTTTGGTCACTTCCCTTGCTAAATTCATTAAAACCAAAGTCGGAAAGCTTGATATCTTGGTATGATTTTATACCTCTGTTGTTGAAATTATTTTGTTCATCTATGTTCATTTTTAGTTGAGTTAAATGTTAAAAAATAATGATTCATTCAGCACCTATATCTTAGATATAGTTTTTATTGAATTGACCAGTATGATGATTGATGAACTAAGATATGTTGTCTGGACTCTGATGTTACCCAAGTGCCCATTTGTTGTTGCTATGCACATGTTGGTTCAATTAGAGCTCAGTCAAATGCATATGACTGACCTTAAATAGGGTCAAGTTAGTTCCCTGGTAACTTCTATGTTGAACTCTGCTCTATAGCTGACTTTTTTGAACTTGAACCCACCCATGGCTAATCTTTTCACTCCGGGAAATAAAGAAAATTTATTAGCAATAGTTTTGGAGAATGGCAGCCATTTAGCCCTAGAAAGCAAACATCATTCATGATGCCAAAAATTATTCAAGGTTAGCAAAAGCAGCTCGGAGACATGTCCCCAATAGAGGCCGAAAGATGAAGTCAGAATCTGGATTCCAATTCAAGACAACTAAAGTCGAGTGAACAAGCTAAATTTTCAATCCCTAGCTAACCCCAGCTCATGATTCCTAGCTCGGAAACAACAAATCAGGAGTCAGTACCAACGTGACCCTCGTGCACACTACGATAGCGATAGCTCACATCTTCCAGCAGGTCACGTCACGGCTAGGAAATGTGTCATCCAACGGCCAAATATTTCATCGCATGTGTCATAACAATCCCGAAGGGTTCACGCTAATTACGCAAGGTGCTCCTACACACTATAAATAGAGATCAATCCCTCACATTGTACAAGATGGAATAATTGTGAGTTAGCTGTCAAGAGCATTGTAATCGCCTTTCTCAAACAATAGAAAACTCTCTCAAAAGCAAAAGACACCATTAGAGTGGACTAACCAAGCTTCTAAGCTGATGAATCACTATAAACCCCTGTCTGTTTAACCATCAAGGGTGTAGTAGCTCTGACAGGGTATTCCAGTGAACTCTATTAACATCCTTTTCAAATCTCAGATCCATTTCCCCTTTTTTACCCCGAGCTCTATTACACAACTGCATAAATTACACCATCAATTATCATAACAGTATTGATGCTGAACCACAGCACAATACAAGTTGAATGCAGTGTATTAAGTCAGGCACTATGCCCTTCAAATGCCTTCATATGATTATTATAGAAGCCATTGTGCAAATTGTTGAACTTTATTTCCTGATGGACTGCTAGTCTCTTCCAATTCCTGCATCAATTTCTTTGTAGAAATGCAAGGTTCATATACTTCGGAAAATTTAATAGTTGACATTAGCTTTTTCTTGGTATTGCTTCAGTTTATAATATCCAACATATCTATATCTATATCTATACTATTTCTAAAAGCACTTTAAGGTGAAAAACTTTCATTTCACTAAAATAACCTCAATACAATAGTTATTCTCTATTATATCTTTTTGGAGTTAATAGCATTATTAAATTATATGTAATCTATTTATATCTATATCTGTACTACCATAAAATGTCACTTAACATGTAAAACTTTTATTTTTCTATTTTAAATTTTTAATGTAAGGGTCCGTTTGTTTAGCAAGAAAATGCTAGAAAATACAAGAAAAAGAAAATTTTAAAATTTTACATGCGTTTGTTTAGTATAAAATAGAAAATGATAGAAAAAAATAATTTTCTCTCATGTTTAGATTTTCTCACATCTAACTAACTTTTTTTTTTTTGCAAAAAACACAAGAAAAAATAAGAAACTTGTATTAAATAACTTAACTTCCCATTTTATCCTTATTTTTTTCTTAACATATTCAATTAGTTTAGTTTTAAAAAAATGTGTACAAATTAGGCTAATCATGTAGTTTGGTCTAAAGATTAAGGTTTGAGTCAATCTTTGTTCTTGAATTAGGTTGGAGCCAATTTTTTTAAATTTTGAATAATAAAAAATATGTTTTTCTTTTTTAGACCGAGTTAAAATACTTAAGGATAATTTAGATAATTAGAAAAATTTTCTTATAACTTTCTTTTTTTTAAACAATGGAATGAGAATGTTTTAAAATTTTCTTAGAAGTTTTTCAGGCTAATCAAATACATGCATGAAAATATATTTTCTTTCACTTCACTTTCTATCTCTTTCACTTTCCATCTTCTTTTTCTTGCTAACCAAACGGACCCTAAATTCAATTGTAACCTTGAACTTTGAGAGTCTTTTGGCCTTCTCATTAAGTGATAGTAAATTATTTACGAAGTCTAATTGAATTACTTATCTATATCTATACTATTATAAATCTATATCTATTCTATTATAAAATGTCAACAAACTTGAAAAAATTTTATTTGCCATCTTTACCCTCAAACAATGAAAATAAGACATTTTTGTATTCCAGAGTAAATGAGATATTTAACCTAAATAATGAACTATAGATTCAATTGCCCTGTCTTTGTTGTTACTGTACCTCTCTCCATCTCTTCACTTGACCGTCACTCCCCTCTCTCCTATGTGTTCAAGGCTCCAAAGAAAACAATCAGGTGAAGACACACTCATATCAAATATGTAAAGACAAGATTATGTATCATTTAATAATTTCACTAATAGTGTTTATGTTCACTATTTATTGGTTCGATTATTGGTATTCAAACAGCCGGAGACCCCAAGAGCCAGGAGAGCCTATAAAGTTCTTGCCTCCCTCTTGGATTGTCTTTGCTCTTGACGGAAATAATGCTAATGATTTTGGTCGTGGGACTACGCTGGAGAGTTGTATCTCTTTGGGATCTTTTTTTTTTTTTTTGCTTCTTTAGGGACTTCAGATCTAATCATGGAACTCGTGATGTAACAACCTGAAAGTGTGTTGAAGAATTAGGATTGGTCTACCTCTCTTTCTCTAAATGGTTTCAGGAAATTGTGCTTATGCTTTTAGTTTGATCAATTTCACGCAAAAGTTTCGTTTGTCTATGGATTTTTTTGGAATATTATTCTTTCATGTTGTGCTTGTATCAACAGTTCTAAAAATTGTTTGTTTGTTTTGGGTTCGCATGAGTTTGAATTTTCAGTTTCGTTTTGTTTTCTATAAAGAGAGAATTACTAAACAATCCCAAACTAAAGCTGCGATAGCAGACATTGGAACAACTTATGAGCAAGGATTTGATTTGTGTATTGGCTCATGTGTCTGGAAATTTTATTTCAGGTGGTATAGTTCACGTGATTTAGGTTTTTGGAATAATTAAAGATAATGTATAACACCCTCACTTATAGATGCATGGTTGCAAAACAGCAACTTTGAATTTTCCAAGTCTCAACTGCCAACATATCCCAGCTTTCTCTTTTTACAGCATTATGGAAAATTAGAAGAATACCATATGGAATAGATGCTTCCCTTCATCCTATAATCATTCTAGCAATTGAATGGTATTTTGTGTATTTTTATACTAAATTTTTAAAGGCCAATTATTATTATATTTTTTGACAAAAACGGTAGAAATTTCATTATAAAGAGATCATCTTTGAGGAGTCTGATAAAATCAGGTGCACAATCCTTCCATATATCAAAAGAGAAAACAAATTTAGCATGTCTAGCTTACTGATACATTTGATGCCCCCATTACCAATCTGGCATACATGACACTTGGATAAAATGAAAACTGATATCAAATGTCAAATATCTTCTAAAATAACATCTAGGGTTGTCACTAGTTTTGAGTAATGAGTCCTCAATTTGGTGTTTCAATTTTTACAAATGGGATTTCTAAAAGCACAACTTTCAAAGATAAAATGACGGCCGATGTGTTTCATAACAAATATTCTATTAAGAGTAATACTATGTGAACTTAAATATTAGTTTAGCTAGAATTTTTTAGGGTTTTCCTACATAACATGTTTAATTTCTGAGTGCAGTAATCACTGATGTTTATTAATCATTATAGTTGTGAATTTGGAAAGAGTGGTCCACCACTTTGGCTAATATGTCATACATAGAATATCCATGTGCAACGCACGTGGATAATAACTAGTATTGGCTAAAGGTGTTTTAGGTGATACTGAAAGCCTTATGGAAGAGAGAGTGGACGAGATACTGAACGAGTTTATGAAAGGCTTCAAAGAGGGTTCGATTTCTGCCAAAGGCGGCCCTGTTTGCTATTCAGCATATTTCGTATCAAAAGCAGCCTTCAATGCCTACACAAGGATTGCTGCCAAGAAGTACCACACTGTCTGCATCAACTGTGTCGATCCTGGCTTCATCAACACAGAGTTCAACTACAACACTGGCATATTGGCTGTCCAAGAAGGCACTGCCACCCCCTGTCAGAGTAGCACTGATTCCCCATGGTGGACCTTCTGGTGTCTTCTATGCTGAGAAGGAAATAACATCTTTCGTATGAAAATAATGCACTACAGTCCCACTGATGAAGATGAAACTGCTTCCATATGACTATGGTTACGTATCTGTGCACTGTGAGCAGCATAAAATAATGACTGTAGAGTGATTTGGATGAGTGAAGTTTCATTCCTAATGATTGTCTCAATTTAAAAACCTTGGGTTTTTTGTATGCTGGGGGGGGGGGGTGTAGAGGTAATTTATTAAACAGGTGAAGGGTGAGTCCTTGATGGAAGAAAGTTCATGCACGACTTCTTGAACAAGAACCTGGAAATTTACTAGTCTGCTTCCTGGAATTTTCTTACCCAGCTGCACAACACAAATGTTAGCTCCAAGACTTTTGGCCAGTATCAAACCATCCAAATTTAATTCCACGGGTTAATTGTACCAATGGTCCATGAGATTACCACTTATAACACTTTCGTGCCTAAACATCTAATTTCGTCCTCGTCCTCAATGTTCACACATTGACTCACTTTAGTCTTTACCAATAGTCCCTGAGGTTTACCATTTTTATCCCTTAACATCTAATTTTGTCATCAATGTTCACACATTGATCCACTTTGATTCTTACCCCAAACTTTAGTCCAAAAAATTATCAACCCTTCTCGTCCTGACTTTGCTTTCAATGGACCCCATCTGTATCCTTCCCAGCGACCCTGCTTGTGTCGACCAGCCAAGCAGATGTGATTCTATCTCTTCCTTTCCTATTATTACTAATATTAAGGTCGACTCTCTTCTTGATCGTTTCACTTCTTTTCGTCCAAAAAAACTAAGAGAAAATATCATGTGCCTAGGGTATTAAGGGACATTTTTGGTATTTCAGGTCACACAGAGACATCATCCTCTCTACCGCATCTCCACTCCTCAAGCCCAATACAGTTCTCTCTCTCTCTCTCTCTCTCTCGTTACTGCATCTCCACCCCCCAAACCAAACACATCCACCCCTCGGAAACCTTTACACAAAACCACAAGTACACATCCACAACACAATATACATAGTCATACTCACAAACACACAAATGCACAAACCCAACAACTATCTTTGAGCTCTGCAAGAGAGAGAGAGAGATCTCCACAAACGCACCAAACCCAACAATGTATCTCTCTCTCACTGCACACAAAACACAATCACACACACCACCAATACTGCCACTGATCCACCGCCTACTAATCAAATTTTCATCCAAATTAAAAACAAATACAAATCAAAAATCCCAAATAGAATGATAAACGAAATCAAAATCAAAACTTAAAACATAAATCGAAATCAAGTTTGAATTCAAAATTGAAATCAAAACCAAAAATGAAATAAAAATCAAAGAGATTTTTAGGGGTGGAATGATGAACAGTGGAGGGGAGGGGGAAGATCCTGCTCAGGTGGGTTGATGGAGAAGGTGTTAGGCATATGGGTTTTGTAATGGTTGTATTGGTTAGGGTGTGTACTGTATTTGTGTGAGGTGTTGAGAATATAAGAGGGCAAAGAGAGAGAAGAGAAGAAAGAGAGAGAGGAGATGGATTCCAGCGGTGGCGATTGATTCCAACGTCGATTCCAACAATGGTGGGTGGTGGCGCTCAATTCAAGCAGCGGTAGATAATGGAGCTTGATTCCAACAGTGGTGGATGGTGGAGCTTGATTCCAGCAGTGGTGGGTGGTGGCGCTCAATTCCAGCGGTGGTGAATGGTGGAGCTTAATTCCAGCGGTGGTGGGTGGTGGCGCTCGATTCCAGCGGTGGTGGGTGGTGGTGCTCAATTCCAGCTGTGGAGTCTTGCGTAGAGAGAGAGAGATGCGTGGTCGCTGGCTAAAGAGACAGAGATGGGTTGGAGAAGAGAGAGAACAATTTTTTTTTTTTTGTTAGACTATTTTATTTTTACATGTATGCCCACTGTTTTGAGTGTATAATAACCAAAATGTCCCTTAATACCCTCGCGTGCCAAGCACATGACATTTTCTGTTAATGTTTTTGGATGAAAGTTAAGAGTAAGGATCAGAGTGGTCAATGTGTAAACATTAAAAATGAAATTGAAGAAATTAAAAATTTAGGGACGAAAGTGCGACAAATGGTAAACCTCATGGACCATTGATACAATTAACCCTTAATTCCACATTAGTTTCAAAAACTTTTGGATGGTATATAAAATCCAAAGCTGTTATAAATCCATGATATTAACTTGTATCTTACCCTAGTGGCACAGGTGAAATTACAAAAGGTATAACATCAAAGTTAGAATCCCATCATCATCACTTAACAATAAAAAATACTTATTGTGCGGGCTCGATCCTGCACGATATATAAAATATTGGGAACAGATCTCTCCCCTGGTGAACTTTGAGTGAGCCGGTTGAGTGGCCAAACACGCTGCTTGAAACAACCTTCGAGGTACGGTGGCAACCTGGAACGGCAAAGGGAGATCCTGGGAAAGGAGGAACGATCCTGTACGTGTGAAAGGTATTTCCTGGAACAAAGGAGAACAAGTTAGAAGGGCGCCGGAGTGTTTTCCGGCGTATCCCCTCCGACGGTCTAGTCAGTCTTTGAATGAGAGAGAGGAAGGAGAAAACACTGAGAAGGATATTTCGTAGTTGAGAGTTTGAGATTGCATACCCGCTTTGTCTTTTGGGAGGGGTATTTATACCTTAGAAGATCATGATTGCTGTCAGTGTGGTCAGTAGGTGATCATCAGGCACAGGTAGCGTGTGTAATCATTTGATGAGGAATGTCTTCTCTAATTGACTGCTCGGGGTCCCGAGCAATCAATGCTGAGTCTGTCGGGACGCCGACGGTACAATATGCTCCTTTCGGGAAGGATGCAATAAATGCTCTGTAATAGGAGCATTTATTGCCTTTCATATCCGAACCTTACCGCATTGAATGCGGTCTCGTCAACAGAAGGGTGCAATTAATTGTTTGCTTTCCCAAGTCGCGTGTCAGCAACGGCATGCGGTTTGTCTGCTTCGGATGTGACATTATTTGCCACGCGTCCATCCCTTATTGGCTGTTACGTCGGTATTCCAGCACGTTCTGACATTACTTGTGTAAGAAGAGGTCATGATGAAATCCATACTGGCATAGGCTGATGTCCAGTATGTCAGTAGCTTTATCCGGGAGTAGAGGAAGCGTCCAGGATGGAGTGACCCTCGGCGCCGAGGAAAGGCTCACCTCGGGACCAAGGGGTGGTGTTTCCCGAGGTACATGGTGACCGAGGACACATGTCATTGTATAATGTACCGAATATGTGATCCTATATGAGAGGTACCTCGGGGGAGAGGACGCCTTGCCGATGGTGCTCGAACCCGAGCAACATTGTTCTAAAACCCCGAGGACACGTGTCTTCATCATAGGCTTTTCAGAAGAGTCCCATCAACTGCCCCCCAGCCTTCGATCTTCTGACACCGAGGACACGCGTTGTCAGGAGACGAAGGGTTTTCCAACTGCCATCCGTCCTTCATTATGGCCTCGAGCAGCTTTCCCTGTCTTGGGATGTCGTGCGCATTAAATGCGCTGTTTTTGGTTCTCCCGCCCAATGATGACAGTTTCCCCCCTATATAAAGGGGGTTCTTCTCCGGTTTCCTTCGTTTTGCCATTCCGATCTCTGACCCAGAATACGCCCTTTCTGATCTGCTCGCCGGAGTTTTTGTTTCCTCAGCCATGTTGACAGCATCTTCTCTTTAAAACCTCAGCCAGTAAAACCCTTTGTTGACTCCTGGTCCTTCCGGTGCGAGTCATTTTTCAAAGTTTTTCCTGAAAAAAACTCCGTTTCCGACGTCTTCTGGTGAGTTTCACAACCTTCTTCTTTATCGTCCTCCTAGCCTTCTTGTTTTCCGATTTGAACAGTGGTGTCATCCGGTCGGTACGTCTTGATTTAAACCCTCGGGGAACTTCCTCGGGTTTTCAAGAGAGCACCTTTTTCTTCCCTTTCTTTTAGAGATGCCTCGTCGTCGCCCTGTTCCCGAGAATCCATCGGCTGGTCCCTCGGGGTCAGGGAAATACAAGGTGACAGGCGAGGCGCAGATTGATAGGTTCAGGGCGAAGTATGGCATCCCCCCGAGCGTGGACGTAGTGGGCTTTAACCCTTTGTTGAACTCTCCTACCTTCGGGGCCGCGGATGCCATGCCTTTTTATACCAAGGCCATCATAGAGGGTGGCATTAGGTTTCCCTTACCCCCCCTGCTTCTTCAGTTCCTGTCTCGCTTCCGTCTCTTCCCCGGGCAATGCTGCCTCAACGTCTTTCGGATAATTATGGGGGTCCTAGAGCTCAATAGGCGCCTCGGGGTGAATATTGGGCTCAATGATCTTCTTTTCTGTTACTCCCTCCTAAGAGTCATGCCCCACCAACATTTCTACCTCAAAGCCAGGGACCCCTCCATGTACCTTGTAACCCATCTTCCTGATTCGGACAAGGGGTACAAGGACGACATCTTGATCTTCAAGGGATGTTGGGAGAGGGGTGTTGGTCCCGAGTACAATGACTTACTTTGCCCTCGGGAATGGAGAACGACAAGTACGTCGGTTCCTTTGGGTTCTTTATTTGTTTCTTGGGACTTCTCATGTTTATGACAATCTTTTTTGTTGTGCAGGTATTCCTTCTCGGGAAACAGCTCCACCCCCTCGGTCGCTGGTCAATTTTGCCGACTTAATAACGGTTTGGAGTTTCACGGGCGCCGACGGATTTGGCCGAGCTGCCCATAATTTGCTGCACTATACCCCGGGTATAAGAAGTTCTCACAGCTCCCTCAACCTTTCGAGCCTTCACAGTGGTCAGAGCTCTTTGATCAGGCGGCGAGGCTAGAGGTCGAGCAGAACTTGGAGGAAGACCCGGATCGGGCTTCAGAGGGAGAGGTAGAAGGAGTTGCTGAGGTCGGGGTCAGAGAGGACGTTGCTCCTTCGGACGCCGAGGTGGGGACTTCGGGAGGCGACTTGTGGCCTGATTTTCAAATTCTCCAATCTTTGGACGCCGAAGACGCTCTCGAGGAAGCGATGTCCAACCCCCCACGCATCAATTTGGGGTTTCTTAGGCAGAGGCAATCCCTCGCAGCCGGGAGAGGCCGAGGGACGACCGGCGGTACTCCGGCAGGAACCAGTTCCGCCAATTCTTCGAGGGCTCCCGGTCAGGGTCAGGTGCGAGACCGGGATCCTCAGGTGG